TATATATATATATATGCAGAGATAATTTTCATATCTAAAGCTTGAAATTCCATAAGAAGTATAAGGTTTATATCAACCATGCACCAAAAATATATGCCACAGCTGTATGTAAAGCTGACCTAACTGTAGAAAAGTGTAAAAAGACACTTTTCTTTTCTTCAGCTCTGATGATAGTGTAGGTCATACAAAGAAGCCCATGCCGCACCTGTCGTCCAGTGAGGTTCACACAGATGCGTTTGCGCAGGACTAGCTGCATCTCTGCAGGGTGGCTGAGCTGCACCATGGTGCGGACAATCAAGTATACTCTCTGATCTGGAGCAGCACCTCGACTCAGCTGTGGACATTCATGAACCGTGGAGTCCCAAGAAGCTTCGGCTTTCACCTGGAAGAAAAATTGTTTTTAATACATTCCTTTAAAATCAACTAGGGAGCCTCAGAGCCCTGAGGGTGCGTAGGTCATATTCACACCTCTCCATCATAGTGTTTGACAATCTGAAGGTCAAAAAATTCATCCTCGTCTTCAGAAATAAGCATGGCGTCCCAGCCGCCCGCCTCGGGAACGTCTAGGTTTTCCTGAGAGCTGAAGTCGTAAGCTGGAGGAAGGAAGAACAGAAACACAGGAAGAACGAGTGTGAAAATGAGCGTTAAGATAAATAGAGCTTGCAGTGGAAGAAAGGTCACAGAGGACATTCCTGCAGAGAACATTGCTGTTCTTCAGCAAGCACGAAAAACATACCGCTCAGGTCGAGGAAGAGCACTGGAATGTGAGTTTCCATCCCAGGCACTGGTACCCTGCCAAGAGAGACATAAATCAACCCGTGGCCCAAATACTCATGACTAAATATTTGTAAAAATGATACTGATACTGACATTCATTAAACAAACAAAGCCTCAAATCCAAATATCAATATATTAAATTACATTTTAAGGATTATAACAACCTCCCTAAAATGCAAACTACATAAATCGAAGCTAAACTGACATTAAATATCATTCAAACCTCTGACAGACAACAAGTTTACCAGCTATCTATAACATTAACTGATTTAAGTGTTCAGATTAAATGCTAATTATTCAGTATGGTTGTAGCAGTGCTGTACCACTCAGCAGGAGCTCCTGGTATTCCACTGCCAGCAGAGGGCACCATCACTGCATTTCTCTCTTCTGTAAGTGTCAGACGCCACTCCAGCAGCTGGGCCTCCCGCTCCACATCATCCTCAGACTTATCTGGTCATAGAGAGCAAACTAGTCACCAATGCTTCCTCTAATTTAATGTGACGCAAAATCCATTTCTGCAGAGAAGTTCCTTTAAGCGTATATAAATGTTCTAATTTTATCTTAATTATAATCTAAATAATACTTTTTTTTTTTACTTTATTAAAAAAATTCTATAATATTTTAAATATATAAATAATATTTATAAAACAAACATTAATAATTCTATTAAATATGTAAATGCATCTCTACTCATCTATAAAAGTATTATTTAATTTTATAATAACATTAAAAAAAAATTTTTTTTAATAATCAATGGACATGCAGCGATAAAACGCTGCCCAATCATTGTAGCTCTGACTCAGTCAAATCTCTAGCTTTTTCCCCACCTGTTTTTGATCTTGCATTATTTTATTTTTTGGCCAGCAAAGGAACAAAAAGGAGCTATGTCGGATTTTGGACCAATGCATCATGTGATACAAACAGAAACAACATCCAAAATCAGATCCACATTTCTTCTGTCTGCATCTGTATCTAATCAATCTGCTTGCTTCTCAAAGACAGTGATGGGTAGCTACATGAGCTCCACAAACAAGGAAAGAACAAAGCTAATTAGCAACAAACTAAAGAGAGGAAAGCACTATTTTATAGTCTATTACTGAGCTGAGACTAAAAACAGTACGTGTCTCTATCTGGTTTTTACCTGTTTTGCTGACCAAAGTCTGAAGATGTTGGTCCAGATACTCTTGCCTCTTAGTGAGAGCAGTGAGCCACTGATGTCGCAGACGCTCCAAATCTTGCTCCTACAGGATGATGGACAAATGCATAAACACAAATGCTGCTATTGCTTAAAGGGCTTTTATGCCTTTAAATGGGCAGGACAGAGGAGAAAGACAGGAAAGACGTAAGAGGGAGAGACAGGAATAGGATAAGGAAATGATGCAGAATGGATTCAAAACTGAATCTCAGCAAGAAAATAATAATAATAATAATAATAATAAAATAAATAAATAAAATAAAATAAAATAAAATAACATACTTAAAATGTATTAACTAAAAGTCAATGTCATAAATGTATTGACAACCAAACATACCTGATAACTGTCCATTTCATCGCCCTCAAGCTACAAAAGAAAAACAATATAAACGTTATAGACTCTCAAGACAACATTCTGCTAAATGCTAAAAGTTCAGGTGAAAAAGAACCTTTACCTCTTGTGGCTCATTGTTTTTAGTCATCTGCACCTGCCTGATCTCCACACAGCCGATGGACACTCCCAGAATAATCTCTGCTATCAAAGGCATTGTGCCGGAGTCCTGCACTGAACGTACCTCCACCTGAATCCGCCGAGACTGGCCCTGAGTAAGACACACTGAAACAGTTAATACCCCATGACAAAAACCCTAAAGCAAAATGCTAAGCAACTGGGTTGATAGAATAACAGCACAAGTAAAATACAGAGTTCACATGCCTAGGAGTCGAAAATAAATCTACCAAAACAAGCAACAGAGTTTGCTCAAAGCAAGCAGTCAAGAACATCTCGTTATCATCTGCTTCGAACATGTGACTAAAAAAAGTTCATAAGGTTATTTCATGCTATGCTTTATTCTAATCGTAATAAACAACTATAGACAGCAGCTGTGGGCTGACAGACTTGCAGTGGTATCATTTATAACCATGCAGGAACATGAGGTTTCTGACCTGTTTAAGCTGGAAGATGCCCCCCGTGCGAACATCTCGTGCTGGCACCACCTCCACGGGCATGTACTCTCCGTTCTCATTCAGCTCCAGAATCTGCACCCACATCTCCAACTTGCGTGTTACCTCGCTCCACCTGAGGACACATAAAAGTCAAAGCAGTTCAAAAACAGGAAGCAGATCATTAGATATAAGATGTTCTCTACATTTCTGAATGTTCATATCAGTATAATCGGATAATTACAGGGGGCTGAAGCTCAATTTTCTGCTCACCTGTCACGTAAAGTGCGTGTTTTGGCCTGGATGATGCTGAGGTCCCACAGCGCGGGGTTCCTGCCTGGATCAGCCTGCCTGTGTCCGTATACCTCGATGGCTACGGCACCCTCTGTTAAATACTCGATAAATTCCTCTGTTACAGTCACAGCATGCTCCTACAGTACAGAGAGTAAGGCACAAGTAAACATGTTAACAATTTCTTGATAACTCCTGTGTTAAAGGGTTAGTTCACCCAAAAATGAAAATTAAGCTGCATTTTACTCACCCCCGAGGCATCCTAGGTGTATATGACTTTCTTCTTTTAGACGAATCCAGTCGGAGTTATATAAAAAATTTTCTTTGATATTTCAAGCTCTATCATTGCAGTCAGCGGGTGTTGCATTGCTTCAGTCCAAAAGAAGTTAAATAAAAAGCGCCCATCCATAAAAAAAAAAGTGTCTCACACAGCTCCAGGGGGTGAACAAAGGCCTCCTGTAGCGAATCGATGTGTTTTTGTAAGAAAAATATCCATATTCAAAACGTAATAATCACTTTAATCTTTTATTGCGCTCACGGTTGTAAACGGAAGCATTCCGGCCGGATGACGTATGAGGTCAACTTTGCGCATGCGCCGCTCAGAAGTGACACACGCGGAAATTTTTTATATAACTCCGACTGGATTCGTCTGAAAGAAGAAAGTCAGATACACCTAGGATGCCTCGGGGGTAAGTAAAACGCAGCCTAATTTTCATTTTTGGGTGAACTAACCCTTTAAGGGAATAGATAATCCAAAAATGAAAATGTACCCTCAGGCCATCCAAGATGTAATTTGTTTCTTCATGGGAACAGATTTGGAGAAATGAAGCATTACATCACTTGCTTACCGATGTGAAAGGGTGCCATCAGAATGAGAGTTTAAACCGCTGATAAAATCCACAAGTAATCCACACGACTCCAGTCTATCACGTGATGTCTTGTAAAGCAAAAGGTTTTTAACTTCAAAACATTGCTTCTGGTAAAATACGAGTCCTCCATCCATTATATTGCTTTCTCCAATGGAAAAAGTCATCTCGTGAGAAGACAACGGAGGATGGACTTTTTCACAGTAGGAAGCGTTATTATGGATTCTGGCCAGAAACAATGTTTGTAATTAAAATCATCTTGATAGACTTCTTACTTAAAAACATGCAGCTTTTCGCTTTACAAGAAGTTAATTGATGGACTAGAGTGGTGTGGATTATTTATGGATTATTATGATGTTTTTATCAGCTGTTTGGACTCTCATTCTGATGGTACACATTCATTACAGAGGATCCCTAGGTGAGCAAGTGATGCAATGCAAAATTTCTCTAAATCTGCTCCAATGAAGAAACAAACTCATCTACATCTTAGATGGTCTGATGTTGAGTAAATTTTCATTTTTGGGTCAACTATTCCTTTAATGAACAAAGATGCACAATTAACAACAGTTTTAAATGCTGAAGGTCAATATTAGTAATAATTCACAATTTGGGCTATGTTTGACAGGATTTCCTGGAGGGTAAATCACATTGTGCCTAATTTACTATCAGCTTGTCTTGACTCGTACCTTACAGCTGTCAAACACCACCATGCAGTGGGGGTCTTTGCTGCTGGAGAAGGAGGCAGAGGGATCCACTTCTGGAGCAACAATAATAGGCTCTGCTTGGTCCCAGAAAGAGTACTGACAGAAGACAAAATTGGAAAGGTACTGCGGGAGACCATTAGCCTGCAGGATCTTAATCTGTTTGAGAGAACATGGGTAAATTTAGCATGGGGTAAGATTTACATTTTAAATATAAACACAACATAATAGTAGACTGTGTTGTTATTATTAATTTGAGTTATTTTTAAAATATAATTTAAAACCAAAAACCTTGATATGACTAATTTTCTCAAACCTTACATGCACAAAACTTGCTTCTGTGAACTTCAGTACTCACCATATAGACCAGTTTGCGTTCCTGTACATCGCCGTCTGGGCTTCCATCACTGTCATCTCCTCCGGCTACACTGTCATCAAACCCTCCGCCCATTCTCATCACCTCCACGTGCAGCCGCCCGACAACCTGACACCAGCAACAAGTAAACAACACTTCACTGGTCCGCTGGAGATGAACTCTGGGTCTCATGCTTTATATGATGACTTAATTAGATTTTATTTCACAGATGAAACTGCACTCAATTTAATTTACATCCCATTTCATCTTCTGGAAGAAATTTCCTCAGAAATCTAATGAGTCAGTTAATGTGAAATATTCATAGCAAGTCAAACCCCTGATCATATTTGCTTGACTGCTGCAGGCAGATCTGAACACATCATCCTCACCTCTCCTTTCTGATTGATGATGGGAACCGCATATTGTAGCTTTACGTCATAGAACAGGCAGGAGAGGAAAACGTTGGCCACACCAATTAAACTGTGGTTCACCTGCTCATCGAAGAAAGGGTCGGCTCTCTTGAAGTACGAGCACATCACCTATGAGATGGAGAGAAAAACCACTCCTGTAGTGTTACCTTTTCATTTTTAATGGGACAGTATCGCTTTACAAGAAGTTAATTGATGGACTAGAGTGGTGTGGATTATTTATGGATTATTATGATGTTTTTATCAGCTGTTTGGACTCTCATTCTGATGGTACACATTCATTACAGAGGATCCCTAGGTGAGCAAGTGATGCAATGCAAAATTTCTCTAAATCTGCTCCAATGAAGAAACAAACTCATCTACATCTTAGATGGTCTGATGTTGAGTAAATTTTCATTTTTGGGTCAACTATTCCTTTAATGAACAAAGATGCACAATTAACAACAGTTTTAAATGCTGAAGGTCAATATTAGTAATAATTCACAATTTGGGCTATGTTTGACAGGATTTCCTGGAGGGTAAATCACATTGTGCCTAATTTACTATCAGCTTGTCTTGACTCGTACCTTACAGCTGTCAAACACCACCATGCAGTGGGGGTCTTTGCTGCTGGAGAAGGAGGCAGAGGGATCCACTTCTGGAGCAACAATAATAGGCTCTGCTTGGTCCCAGAAAGAGTACTGACAGAAGACAAAATTGGAAAGGTACTGCGGGAGACCATTAGCCTGCAGGATCTTAATCTGTTTGAGAGACATGGGTAAATTTAGCATGGGGTAAGATTTACATTTTAAATATAAACACAACATAATAGTAGACTGTGTTGTTATTATTAATTTGAGTTATTTTTAAAATATAATTTAAAACCAAAAACCTTGATATGACAAATTTTCTCAAACCTTACATGCACAAAACTTGCTTCTGTGAACTTCAGTACTCACCATATAGACCAGTTTGCGTTCCTGTACATCGCCGTCTGGGCTTCCATCACTGTCATCTCCTCCGGCTACACTGTCATCAAACCCTCCGCCCATTCTCATCACCTCCACGTGCAGCCGCCCGACAACCTGACACCAGCAACAAGTAAACAACACTTCACTGGTCCGCTGGAGATGAACTCTGGGTCTCATGCTTTATATGATGACTTAATTAGATTTTATTTCACAGATGAAACTGCACTCAATTTAATTTACATCCCATTTCATCTTCTGGAAGAAATTTCCTCAGAAATCTAATGAGTCAGTTAATGTGAAATATTCATAGCAAGTCAAACCCCTGATCATATTTGCTTGACTGCTGCAGGCAGATCTGAACACATCATCCTCACCTCTCCTTTCTGATTGATGATGGGAACCGCATATTGTAGCTTTACGTCATAGAACAGGCAGGAGAGGAAAACGTTGGCCACACCAATTAAACTGTGGTTCACCTGCTCATCGAAGAAAGGGTCGGCTCTCTTGAAGTACGAGCGCATCACCTATGAGATGAAGAGAAAAAAAACACGGCTATAGTGTCACCTTTTCATTTTTAATGGGACAGTATAGCATCTGTGAATAATAAGAGCTTACAGGGTTGTCCTCATCAAAGTCCTTCCACTCCTGATAAAGCTCTCTCATGTCCACTAGCCGGTTTTCCATCTTCTCAAGGGCCCATATTTGCTTCCCTTTGCCTTTCCTCCTCACTTGAATGGCAGGTTCGCTCAATACAGCATCTCGCTGAATACACAAACACAAAAATACTGATGAAGATATTGGTTCTTTTCAGTGCATGCAACATTTAATGGCATAACATTATGAATTCATGACTTTCTGCTCCAATTTAAGACCTTTTAACCTTAATTTGTAGAAGGGCGAATTAAGACTTTTTAAGACCTGCAGAAACCCTGATATTGCTCTAAAATGTGCCTGACCTTTCTGTTGGCATTAAGGTTTGCAGCAGGGATCTGTAGAGTTACTCTGTACTCGGTTCTCTTGTCCAGCTCTTCAGCGATGAAGTTCGCCTCCTGCACTAACAGATTAGCCCTTACAATCTGCTCCCTCAGTTTCCTCAAGCTCCGCGTCAGCACCACCTCCCTGGTGTCATCACAATAAGAGCATTACAACAAACTCACCATGTACCAAATTTTACCTTGGGAAAACAAAACACATTTGTTTCCACCAAAAATGTAAACCTCACCTCTCCTCGCTCCACTGGCGCAGGCGGTGCTGGGCGCTGGGTGATGATGACATTCCTCCCTGGCTCAGTCTCTCCCAGCTGCGGTAGTGCGGCTGCAAAGGCTGCGACTGCGGTATCTGCATGCTCTGTCTGTCTGGAGTCAGCTGTCTACGCAGCTGCTGCAGCTCCTGCTCGTACATCAGCCGCTGATGCTCAAGAGCGGTCCGCTTCTCCTCCTCATGTTGGCGCTCCAGAGACTGCAATACAGCCTGCATGGGGTCTGTAAGACAACAACAACAGAAAAATGTTACATCATTTTGGATCATGTTTTGGCTACTGTATCTTTAAGATTTAATGGTAAAGTACCTATTTTGATTGGCTAACCTTTTCACATGTGAAATGAGTAACATGCCTCCTTAAATGCTAAGTGTCCATATTTTTAATAGTAGCAATGTTTTACTTTTCATTACAGCTACACTAAAGTTTGGGGTCAGTAAGATTTTTTTGTAACAAATTAATACATTTATGTGCATCAAAAATGATAGTAAAGACATTTATAATGCAACAAAAGATTTTCATTTCAAATAAATGCTGTTCTTTTGAACTTTCTGTTCATTAAAAACCCTGAAAAAAAGCATCACAGCTTCCACAAAAATATTAAGCAACACAACTGTTTAAAATGAAGTCATATAAATGTTGTTTTTAAAGTAGGTGTGTGGCTAAAACTCACCGTTGCTGCCCAGAGCTTTCATCATGACTTCAGTCTGAGCAAACTCGTAGCTGAAGCTGACCTCACTGGACACCTCGCTGGCCGTGTCGCCCTCTCCATCCAGCTGCTCACTGCTGTTACTGTTCTTCATGTTCCCGCCCTCACCCTCCTCTTCCTCACCCCGCAAGCGCCGCTTTGGTAGGTTTATTCTGAAGATGCAGCAAATATAAAAAAAGGTCATAAAAAAAAAAAAGATAACCATAATGCACTTTCATGTACAAATACAGGAAGCCGCTAAGTGACATTCTTTAGTCTAGGGTAATACCACTGACCTGAAGAAGTGATTGTTTCCCCAAAGAATACGGTCACCATGGTGAAGTTGTTGCCGGCTGGTGACTGGAGATCCGTTCACACATGTTCTGCAACGGAGTCAAAATCAGGTTATTTTATAAAACTTTAGATTTAATATTTAAATCTAAACAGAGATTATGATTTGGCTGTTGTAATTCAGCACATGCGTTTTTATAGTTTAACTTACAGTATTACATTTTTAGATAAAAGTACCTGTCAAATGCATAAATGTAAATATACTATACATGCATAGTTCAAAGAAAGCCTGTGGGTAAGTTCTCTCCAGTTCATGGATTTATATTGAACCTGTGACCTTTTGGTTTACCCATCTCACATTTATACTAAAACCCTCGATGCATTACCTCGAGTTTCTGTAAGGGTTGAGAAAGACAGCTCCCTCAGGTGTGATGTTAATGACACAATGTTCTGCTTGGATACCCATTCCACATAGCTGGATGTCCTGTGAATCTGCTGATCCAACCTTAGTGTGTTCCTGCAAAACATCCCAGCATTAACTGCACATATCACATTACATCCACAGAGGCACAATCTACACTTAATGAATGCCACATTTTCAAGCACTAAATTATAAATTATACTATTATACATTACTGCAACACGAGGCCCATGACATCAGACAGCAACAAAAATGGCATTATTGTTTTTTTAACTACTAAATAAGTATTATTTAAAAACGTATTACTTACATATATACATATATATATATATATACATACATACATATATATATAAGAATAATATGTACATAATATTATAATATATATTTCATTACATAAAAACTTGTATAATAATATGCATGCATAACATTATAATATGTAATAAGTATCAAATAATAGTAATAATACTATTAGTATAATAATACTGCTAATGCATATGTACACACAATATACAAAACTCTTATCATAAAATAATTTTAAAAAACAAAATAAAATAAAAAAATAATATAAAATAAAATGAAATAGTTGTGCAATACCTTTAGATAATAAACCAATAGTTCATTAAGGGCAGGGTCGGCGTTGAGGTTGATCAGGAAGCACTTATCTTCTCCAACCTTGATACCAGATGACTGCAGAGAGATGCCAAGACTCTCCAGCTGTTTTTGTCTCTCCTGTGCAAAGAAAGAAAAACAATGCAAAAAGAACATAAGCGTCCTCTTCTGTGTTTGACGGATGATGTTATGGAAAATGAACTACAGAACATTCTAACATAAAAATTACAGTCCAGACAAAACAGCACAAATTGTTCGTTGTTGTTACTTGTGCAATTTCCTCAGTCTTCCTCAGCTTCTCTTCCCAGGTGACTGTCATCTCCTGTATCAATTTTTCAGATTCCTCCAGTCTCTCCTTCAGATCTGGTGCCTTCATAGACTGTGGAGGAACATGACAGGTTCTTAACATATAGTTTTTGACTTTTTGCCACGTCACACTAAGAAAACGATATAAAGTGTCTACCTCAGCCTGCGTCAGCTGATCTCGCAGTTTCTCCACCTCCTCTCGGAGTTCCCGGATAATCCTGGCATTGGGGTCTTCGTTGACCACGGCGTGGTTGACGATGCTCTTTGCTCGGTCTGCATAGCGTAACGTTGACAGCGTCTCATCATAATTATCTGCCGCAGGACTTACAGTGGCAACCATAGCAGTCCGACTGTTTCCACCCAGACTGTCCTGCGGTTGCACCAGAAGGACAAACTTTAAACATCAATGCACTGGACAGAGCGGTCACTTTCCAGAGATTATACATTCAAAAGTGTGTGGATGGAACTGGATTGGAAAACTTTTAAAATACTGTGGAAATTCCCCTTCCCGGTGTTTACTGGACAGAATGAGTGTTCGTACCTTGAGCAGCCATGTCAGCACCGAATCTCTGTAGGGCACAAACTTGTTCTTGTTCTTTCCAGCACCCTGCTCTGCCAGAGCTGAGATCACCAAACCCAGAGTGGTTAAAGACCTGTCCGGTGTGCAGAGGAAAGATAGAAATGGAAAAAAATAAATGAGAAAGAAACAGACCAAGGAAAAAGACACACTTCTCACACAGAAATATGCACTGGCAGGCCAAAAAGCCTTCACCAGACCCTTCTCAGAACAAACTGTGCCCGTAAATGTAGCCATTTTAACAAGTCTTATTCTCCACAGAATAAAACCTACCTCTCAGAACAGAAAAACAATCAGAATCGGAAAGAGCTTTATTGCCAGGTATGTTTACACATACGAGGAATTTGTTATGGTGACAGAAGCTTCTCCAGCACAAACAGAATGACAGTGACAAGTCACACAGATAATAAAAATAGAATAAGTAACATGAAATAGCAATATACAACAAATCTTAGAAGAAAAACACAATATACAAAATAGACAATAGATGGTATTTGTGTGTACAGGTGTGTTATGTACAAATGCAAGGAAAAGTAAATAAGAAGTATGTGTTAAATAAATAAATGTAGAAATAGTGTTGTGTATTGCATGTTTATTGTAAAGTTAACTGTTCATGAGATGGATTGAACTGTTCTTATGCCTGGCTGTTCTGGTGCAGTGCCGATCAGACGGCAACAGTTCAAAGAGGAAGTGGCCTGGGTGTTAGGGGTCCAGAATGATTTTGCCAGTGCTTTTACTCGCTCTGGATGAGTACAGTTCTTGTAGAGTGGGGAGGGTTGAGTACCAGTGATATCCACTGTAGTCTTCGGAGGTCAATTTTGGTCGCTGAGCTGATCCAGACAGTTATAAAAGTGTAGAGGATGGATTCAATGACTGCGGAGTAGAACTGTTTCAGCAGCTCCTGTGGCAGGTTGAACTTCCTCAGTTGGTGAAGGAAGTACAGCCTCTGCTGGTCTTTTTTGACAATGGAGTCTATGTGGAACTCCCACTTCAGGTCCTGAGAGATGGTGGTGCCCAGGAATCTGAATGACTCTACTGTTGCTACAGTGCTGTTCATGATGGTGAGTGGGGGGGTCTTTCAAATGACTTCAAGACCACAAACATTAAAGCAACAGGTCTGTAGTCATTTAGTCCTGCGATTTAGTTCTGCGAAGGGGGGTTGGTGGAGGTGTTAATGGATCCATGGAGAGAGGGTCAGAATGTGTGTGAGGTGTGAGACAGGGTTTTTCAAATCTGCAATAGAACTTCGGCCAGTTGTTGATTCAACACAGTGCTCGGGGGTGGTGTTTTATAATTAGTGATGTCTTTCAGTCCTTTCCACACTGAAGCAGGGTCACTGTCAGAAAACTGGATTCACACTTTGTCAGTGTGTTTTTGTCCTGTTTATACAAGACTCTGTCCCCTCTTTCTGTAAGCATCTTCTTCGGCCTGACGGAGCTGTCGGAGTTTTGCAGTGAACCATGGTTTGTCGTTGTTGTAAGTTAAATGACTGAATGCACATATCCTCACAGAAACTAATGTAAACACCACAAACCATAAATCAAATCAACTAAAATATATTCTTAGATGACTAAAACATCCAGACACAATATTAGTGGTGAGCTTCACACTGTAAATGAAGATTATGTCTACACAGCTTACACAATTTATTTCAAAACAGTTATTTTCCATGACATGTCATTTTTAAGAGGCAAAGCACCCATCCAACAGAAAAGGAAACGCCTCAATTCAATGCCATAGGAAAATATTCAGAGGTGACTAAGACATTCATAGACTAGATTAATCTCTTGTCTGGGTCACATTTTACCCCTAAATTGAAAGGAAAAAATGTATAAATTTATGCATGAAGAAAATGAAGATGATTTTTGGAGCTTGTAATTGTTTTTTCCCCCATTATTATTAATAAATAATTCACAATGAATGTGATGTGATGCGATATAAGATATCATATAATATAATATAAAATATAATAAAATAATGCATTTAGTTGTCAAAAAAAATGTGTCCCCATGCAGAAAAAACTTTTATAGGCTTCAAGTTAAACATAATTTTTTATTTTTTGGGCCACAATATGAATTGGACTTGTTCTTGACAGGTTTCTTAAGATTCATGCAAAGCCTCTGTAGGTTGGTACATTAAGCGAAAAAAAAGTACTAAGACAAAAACAAAAAAAGGCATCATGCAGAATGAGTCAACGTTGCACACACTTGTTAATGTTGCTGCCTTCCTTGAGCCGCTCGCCTGCAGCGCCTGTCTTTGCAGCTCTCTCACTTCCTGCCAGGTCCACCAAACTCAGCTTACTAACCTTTTCACCACTTGTCTGTAGAGAGAAAAAAAAGGACAAAAAAAATTAGAGACGCTACGTTCAAAATTTAATACTGCCTACTATTTTTTTTTTTTTACCAAATAGGATGTCACATGACCTTATGTTTCCATGATTGGCACCTAGACATCCTGGAAATAAACAGTGAAATAGCGGTGGCGGGAACTAATTAAAAAAGCAACATAATAATCCCTCACTACTGAACATTTCCATGGTTGTCAAGCCTGTCTGTGCTTGTCCTCCCTAGAAACCCAGGGAAACGGCTTTAAACATTCAATTTGTGTATGAATGGCCACACTGGACAAATTCTGGTTAGCTGTCCTATATTAAGAAGGAACAATGGCAAGAGAGGCTATAGCGGGCCATAGACAAGCATCTATTGTTTTCCCCTCTATTGCACAGCACTGGAGCAGTATGTGGGGTGGAGTTCCTTTATGTGCCCCAGCATCAGACCCTACTGTACACAATCCCCCTGTGTTAGCATCAGAGATGAGGTTTAATTGAGAGGAGAGGCAGAGAGATGTGAGCGTGAGCTGAGAGGACATGGGAAGTCGTGAGGGGGGCTGGGAGCTGGACACAGATTAGAGTGCATTAAAACAACAAAGAGTGTCCTTGTGCTGCAAAAGCTTCAGGCTCCTCGTGCACATTGGCTTTGTGAGTTCACTTGTTAATCTATAATCAGCTATTTAAAAGAGACATATTCTGCACTTTTAAGTTCTAAACTCACTTACATTGCCTCAAGGTACTTCATGACACACTTCCACCTTCCCGTTGACCTTTAGAATTAAAAGGGCTGCTCTTGCTTCTGTACCTTTAAGACTTCTAAATAGGGCTGGTCGATTAAACGATAACAATTAAATTTTCCTCGATAAAACAATAACAAGAGATCGATAAATGTTCAATATAATGTTTATGCACCAAAAGCGGAACGAATCAGTGCTACTCATTTGAACCGTGCCACACGAACCATTTATCCATTTGTCTAAAAGTTCAAATGGTAGCGCAGCCCGAGCTTACTAGAGCAGATGCGTTCACTCGCTGATAAGTCTCAGTCACGCGAGCACTAAAAAGCACTTTGAGATCCAGTGTGAAGCGCTTGAACTCAGTGAAGAATACAAATGACTGCCCAGAAAACCCCAGCAACCTTAAAGTCATGCACTTACCCCTCATAACTCCTTAGAAACTACATAGCAACACCCTGACAACCACCCAGATGTTGTTATTATTAACCTTCTAGCTATCCATTAACCCCTCATCATACCTTAGAAACTGCATAGCAACACCCTGACAACCCCTCAGGACACCATAGCAATCATATAACTATGCGCATATGCCTTTACAACACCTTTATGAACTATATTGCAACACCCTGACCACCACTCAGAACACCCTAGCAACTGCACAACAATGCCCTGAAAACCAACTAAAACACACTAGCAAACACATAGCTATGCACTAACCACTCAGAACATCTTTGCAATTCCATAGTAATATCCTGACAACTAAACAGAACATTTTAGCAACCACATATATATGCACTAAACACTCAGAAACTGCATAGCAATGCCCTGGCAACCACATAGCTGTACATTAACACCTCAGAACACCATAGCAACTGTGCAGCAATGCCCCCAAAACCACCTAAACACCCTAGCAAACATATAGCAACAGTATGCAATAGTCCCCCCAGAACACCTTAGCAACTGCATAGCAACGTACTGGAAAACACCCAGAACACCTAAGCAACCGCCTAGCTAGGCACAAACCCCTCAGATCACCATAGCAAACCACTTAGAACACCCTTGCAACCACATAGTTAAGCATTAACCACTCAGAACACCTAAGCAACTTCATAGCAACATCCCTGACAACCAATCAGAACACCTCAGCAACCGCATAGTTATGCAGTAGCCTAGCAACTGCATAGTAATGCCCTGGCAACCCCTCCGAACATCTTAGCAACTGCATAGCAATACTCTAGGAGAACACGCTAGTGTTGGATAGTGGTGAGTTTACACAGTCAAGCAAAGACAATGTGAAAATCTAGTTTCTAAGGAGCTGTTTTCCATAATATGCTAAACACAGATTTTAATACAAAAGAATATGGAAATCAAAGGATATCTATTGCCTCACATTTCCCCACAGCGCTGTTTGCATGGAAAACCACAGCATGCGAAAGACAGCACTGATGACTGCGCTGGAAAAATACACACATCATTACTTATCGATGGCTGAGATGACAAACACCACATACATAAGGGCTGTGTTCGGTGCACGTGTGTGTGCATGCAGGCTAAATTTTCATCATTGCTCTGTTTTAGTGACAACATGCTAAGTTTAGATCTCTGCTGTAGTCTTGCACCTGTTGAGTGACCAGCACAGTCCAGGCCCTGATGAATTATAGATCAGGGACTGGACAAGAGTGGAGTCAGGTGGTCATGTCATACGGCACAAAAGAAAAGCACAGTGACACCAGGACAGAGCAAGAGGAGATCAGCTGTCTTCTAAACTTGGACACACTATAATTTATTCATCAATTTTCCTGCCATTTGCATGAGCTCTTTCCATGCACACGATAAAGCCGATAAGGGAAGGTTTACGTGGTCCAGAGTGCACTTAATGGTACAGTGACTAAGATCTTTGGAGATGCATAAATTAAATGACTTATGCGATATTATAAATAGGAAACAACCTGTAATGATCCAAAGTGGATGGAACAAAAGCAAAATAAAAATATAAAAGTCGGGCCAAATACCAAAACAAACTTGTAGCCAATCAGCAGTAAGGGGCGTGTCTACTCATGATGCAGAGGAGAGAGCGCTCAGTGCACAGGACGGACATTAGCCGAGCTGAGCAACAGAAAGATAGAGATGGCGGATAAAAAACAAAAGAGGCAAACATCTGCGGAACAAAAGAGGGCTTACGATAAGGCAAGAAGTAGGACCCGTGTAAATATCGGATCAGCTTTCCAGCGCTGGAGAGAACTCAAGGACCGGAAGGCCTGCGATCGGACGCCGAGGTTGCTTTGTTTCTTCTAGATAGGTGAGTAACACCATGTTTACACCGGACGCGACAGTTGTCACACCGCAACAGCTAAAGTCTGTCTACAATGGACGAGACAAAGCGACCGTTCAAAATCATTTGAAATTTGTGTCAATATATCATAAATAGAACGCAGCAGCAGTTTTCTATCGGAGATTTGTCGTGCCGCGCCGCACACAGTGTAGACAGCATCACTGATTAGTGTAGACAGCATCACGTGCCGTGCCGCTCGCATCCGGTGTAGACACGGTGTAACATTGGTTTTGCTTTGTTTCACAGAACTAATCGTTGCCTGGGTTGCGTACGTATGTGTGGTGGCGGAGCTATCAAAATAGGGGTGATAGGGTTTGTTTTGGTGATTTCAAATGTCAACATTGGCTACCAGAAATTACTTAGCCCACCTTTAAGACTTAACACTGGACTGTGCCATCACAGTTCCACATCAGCTGATAAAAGGTATTTAATACATCCATAAGAGATCATCAGGGCTGGACACAATGACTTCTCTCAATCTTCTCCTTCCTGCAGTACGTGGCTTTATTTCATGAGGACCTTGCAAGAATATTCAAGGTCTGAGTTTTATCATCAAACAGCAGAATCAGGACTCTTCCCAAAATAAATTACCCAAACATGGATTTCCTTGCTCTTTTCAATTAATTAAGAGAGTTTGAGGACAGACTCTTGATGCTCCCAACCAAGGCAACCCAGACCATGTTCAATACCAAAGCTGCAATAACTTGCAATTGCAATTGTAATAACTTTGCTGCAATTGCTGGTATGCAAAGGTTAGCCAATAATAAAGGTAATTTACAAGAAGTCTAAAAATCTGCAGTAGTAAAAGCTAAGGGTGGAAAATTTAAATCATTTTGAGTTTTATGGTGCAAGAAACTTTAACTAACATAAGTGGACTTTGGTGAAAAAATAAAACGTAGGGTGTGACCCATTTAAGCGATTTTCCACTTGTATTATGTTGCATCTAAATCTTAATCTATGAAAATCAGCTTTAAAACAGTGTGTGTAAGTGTCCTTACCCCCGACTGAAGGTCCTTCAGTGTGTGCGTGAGGATGATATTGAAAACTGCATGGGAGCGACTGCTCTCCTCATTCATATTGGTGGCCGCCACAGTGCGGGATTTATTTCCCTCAGACATCAAGGACTCAATGTCCTTTGGGTTGAAGAAGGGACACGATTAGAATCTCAGACATGCTTTAAAGGTCAGAAACACTGCACACTTATGCATACTTAATTTTTGTAAAAAAAAAAATACATTAAAAAAAACAAAGCAAAGATGTCCTGAATATGGCCTCTAAAAATAAGGCAGGCATAATTCTGATGAATTACGGTTATGAATTATGGCATGGTTTTGAACTGAGTTAAACAGGACTTCCACAAAGATCATCTACGGAATCTGTGGAATTCTACAGAACGGATTTAAATTTAGAAAAATATGTTAATCCAATGTATTTAACACATTAAACTCAATATATTTTAGTAGAATTAAAAGAATTGTGCAAAAATTCACAGAAATCTGCTTTTTGGGTTCCGTAAGTTCTTTTTGAGTTTGATAAGACCAAAACATTCAGCAGTGACACATTATGTATAGTACACATATTGTAAGCGGACTACAAACATTCCTACAGTGGGATTTGCTAAGCATCAAATGCAGACCCTAAGAGGGGATAATTGAGCCACATGATCAACTGAACGACAGAATATATTGTAAAAAAGGTGAAAGAGCAATCATTGAGTAAAGTGCATGTCATTGCACCAATAAAGATATCCTATTTTGTTACCTTGTAACTTTCTACCGCAAGCCTTGATAGACCATCGACATAAGGCCCCAAAACTTTATGTTCTCTCACTCTCAAGGCCTGCCGACTCCTGTGGGAACAAACTGATATTGTGTCAGATCGACATCTACAGCAAGAGTAAAGCTCAGATATTAAACATGAGACACAATAGGCTTCACCCTTTGGGGTCCAAGAGGTCCCGAACTTTCTCGTTGTAGATTTCCATATAAGAGACTTCCACGGTGAAGCTCTCTTCCTCTCGCTGGTGTTGCACGGTCCGCTCAAACAAAGAACTGCAGAGTCTGGGGATCAGACCAGGCTGGTCCACCGAACCCATCATGGTGTACGACTTCCCCGAGCCTGAGGGAAATGACATGTTCGAATGTTAAATAATTATTACTTAACATAAAGAATCACAGTACAAAAGAAAACGTGTTGTGTTAAGAATGCTTTAAAAAAAAAAAAAAAACGAAAAAAGGTCACTGTGAAAAAAGAATTACTCACCAGTCTGCCCATATGCAAAAATACAGGCGTTGTAACCCTGAAAGGCATTGTGCAAAAGACTCTCGCCAAGGCACTGAAACACTACATCTTGGCCTGTTAAAATATGATTAAATGACAATTAAGATTGAAGTCTACAAATGTTAATTTTATAAAAACCTGTCCATTTCCAAGCGATATGTCACTCTGAAATGACAATAAAGGTAAACTAAGTTTATGGTTCTAAAAATAGTCTCAGAATGATTCATCATGTGAAGGAGAGAAACAGAGGAAAACAGGAGAAACCATGCATGGCTGTGTTGAAGTACATGATGAATATCTAATCAAATACAGTTAAAAAACATGCCATAATGAAAAAAAATTATTGCCCTAAAAATAATTGTTGTTTTTTTATCATCACGTTCTGTCATGTAGCTAGAGTGCCATGACTTGAAATTGTACTGTAAACCTCAAGGTGACACACTGTTGATTTTCTGGAAAAACCTTGTTAGTACAAATGATCTTGATGTGTAAACAAAACCTTTTCTTCACAAGCACCACCAGCACCAGCGCAAGAACTATCCTAACAAGATGATACAGATGAGATACTTGGTACTGAACCAAGAAATAAACAAAGTGGCTTCTTCAAGAAGGGTTTTTAGAAACTGACCAGCAAACTTCTCCGTTTCCGACTCATCCATCGACCAAAAACAGTAGTCATAGGCGAAGGTCTTGACAAAAGAGAGACAGATAGATAAAGAAATAAATATAACTGTGCGTTTCCTTTTGTTCTATTCATATAAAACTTGTATTTTGTATGATGTAAGCATGTTCATTTTAGACAGAAATGAGGGTCATCATACCTTTGGCTGACCCCTGCTGCAAGATGATCCAAGTAGAGGGTGCATATGGGAAAAGATAGAAAAACAGAGCTTGTGTTAAAACAAATCATCTATGAATGTATTTTAAAAGAAAGCACAATTACAATGTGGCTAGGCTGAAGTACAAGATGACAAGTAAGACGGTATTAAAACTTTGGATGTGATATGATAATACTATTAATACCATTGTACATATACCAGGAATCAATATCATCGCATGTTTAGAAGAACACTGGAGTGCATAATATATACACTGGCAGCCAAAAATTTGTAATAATAAAATTTGTATATATATATATATTTTTTTTTTAGTCTCTTACTCTCACCAAGGCCAATTTTTTAAAATAAAGAAATACAGTAAACACAGTAATATTGCGAAAACTCATTGCAATTTAAAATAACTTGTTTTATATTCTAAATTCAGCTTTGTCATCATAGAAATACATTCGATTTTTATTTATATTCAAAATAGAAAAGTTATTTTAAACTGTAAAAATATTTCTCAATTTTTGGCAGACCGTGCATAACATTAGTTCATTTTCCCTGAATAATATCTGAGCTTTAATTATTCCAGGAAGTTCAGACAAGGTTTTTTTTTTTTTTTAAACACTAATTGTCAATTTTGTGGACCCACTGACTCGCAGCTGACCAAAATAGCATGTCATCACCATGAGCGCACTCAAACGGGGACTAGGAACTGGCAGCTCTACACACAATCACACATCCTGAGTGAGTCCATGTCATCAGTTGTACTTTGCTCAGTGGACCTGAACACAAACAGACCGTCTCTCACTGAGAAAGCCCTGCCGTTTACAGGGTAAATACACATTTGGAGCCCTGACTCAAAGTTGTGTTATCTGTAGAGGGCACCTCAATGGCTTTGCACAGCACTCTTGTGAACACAATGACCTATATAAGCATTATTGACAGACTGTGGGAACGAATTGAAGGATCCTAATCGTTCAGAGAGCACTGTGCCTTTCCAGGCCAAACTAATTAAATTCTGGTGTTGTTCTAGGTAATGCAAAAAACACTAATGCAAAACGCAAAGCTCTGTTCCAAACCATAGTGAGCTGCCTAAACAATGAACAGAATTGAGGGAAAATTCAAACTATTTTACCCAATATTTGTTTGTGCCATGAACTTGAGTATTGAGCTACTCATAAATTATTTAATACAAAATATTATTATTATAATGAAGAGTTAGAGTTATACTATTGTCCTTTTGTATGGAAATCTGTCATTTATAAATAATAATTTGTCATATATATATATATACACACACACGCACACATTTTATATATATATATAACTTAGCAAAATCAGTTAAATAGTCAGATCTATATGATAAATCACTGAAAGTAAAAAAAAATAAATAAGAGGGCTTGGTGGTGTCGGCTGAAAAGAAAAGTAATTATATTTTGATCCAAAATATGAAGAAAAACTTATTTAACTAATCTGTTTAAAAGTAAACATGGTCAATTTCAATTTAAAAACGACTTTAAGAATCTCATTACTAAAAACATCTATAATGTGGAATCTCCTGCACATATAACAAAAACTTATAATGACCATCTTTAGCAATGACGACCCGTTTTATGATCCCAATCTAGAAAATCTACATCCATGAGAGCTTATGGAAATCACCAAAGTGTGTACAGCCATGCAGTTACACAGCGAGCAAACGAACGAGCGAGGGATGGAAAGCTGGGGCAAAATATGCCTGGATTCAGTTCCAACGACCCCGGGCTCAGCTTGTCGTTTAAAATCAGGCCATGCCACACTTGCGTTATAAGTTGCACGATGACGTCCCCCCGTCACACCACGCTGAGAACTGAGAGAGATGTTGGCCCCTGAAGGAAGTGTCAGACTGAGCTTCATCTTGTGGTCCTGGAGGAGGTCTGGCAAACGGGGTGGACAAACACACATGGCGGATACTCGGAAAGCTGTTGTAGAGACAGCTGTATATCTGGAACACTAAAAATAATGCTTCTGAGTGACAATCCCTTAACTCTGGTATTGAAATAAAGATGTGGATATTCTTAGAAAATAATCCAATCTCTATATTATCAAAATCTAGCATCCATATCCTTTCATCTGTCACTGGAGGGCATAAATTGCGTCTTACAGATAACATATTTCAGAGTATAACAAATCAAATTTTATGCATCACAGGAAAATAATGCATGCTTTCCAAGACACCTAAAGGACAGATTACTCATTTTTGAGAAGGAGGTCTCTACCAAACCTCCACAGCCAAGGGTGTAGCTTGTAGTAGGTATATGTGTAATGGCAAATTAGTTCACTGGTTTGTGCGCTACACCCAGACTACTGCTCCTGCTGCCGGCACCTCCTTTCCCAAACACTCGTTACAAGCCCTAGTGACTTTGACCTTGTACTCTGGCAAAGCCTATACTAACTATACCCCTGGTTACATCTTATCATATCTGATTCGCCAACATGACAAATACGATGACGTGCAGTCTCTGATAGAATGGACAAAGTACTGAAATGAATCATTCCAAACAAATGACACTACTTAGTAATGTTTCTAATTTTATCCTTCTTTTATCCGTCTTCATCATTCTGAGCACAACTGTACAGTTGTTCCAATAACAAGCTACATGGCTGCTTTTTTGCTCATGCAACGTTGATTAAACATGCTCTGCTAAAGTCTTCTCTTATTTATGTCGGCCTGAGAATCTAAATCATTTTAGTGAATTGCTTCGTTTGGATGATAGGCGTGAATGAACCAGTTCAAATACATGATTCAGTGATGTCTTTATTGAAGCAAAATATTTACTACATTTCGACTCATTTATATAAGTAAGGTTTTTTTATTTTTTTTATTTAGTGTAAATGTATTTGTTTAAATTAATACGGTCACCATATATGTAATTTATATTTTTCTGTGCTAGAAAAATACTGCTCTGATTGCAGAATATACAGTAATCTGATATAACAAAAATTTTAATTAAATAAAAAAAACTAATTAAATAAAAAAACTATTTAAAAACATTAAAGAAATCAAAATAAAATAAATAAATATATTTGTAAATAAAAAACTTACAATTATTTTAAAATAAAATGAATCAATTAAAAAGAAAATAAACGGGTGTTTAGGTATAAGTTGACAAAATTGAAATGCATGTTTATCAGAACAGTTAGCAAAATAAAAATGAATTAATATATATTAAAACAATTACATAAAAATAAAATAAAAACAACAAAACAAAATAAAATACACAGGTGTACAAGTTGGAGAAAGTAAAATGAGTACTTTTTTTATCAGAGCAAAGTCAAATTCATGTTTTTAATTGTCCAATGACGGCGGCCATGACAACCTAAGGAAAGCTGGCAGCTGCTCCCAAGTTCCCAGTCTGGTTTCCAAACATTGCTGGGACTAACCCCACAATGCATCACTCTGTGTTGTTCTAACAAAGCTGTCCTGTACATCTGCACTGACTGGAATCGTCCCTGAGCCAACTGTACAAATGAAAAATGTGTATGCTGTGCCTCTACGCCTGTGCCTGTTTTCCCTACAGGAGACTGAGGCATGTGGTTATTATTACCCAAAAAATGCCTCAGTGACAGGTGAGACCAATCACTGAGAGACACTGAAGCTAGAACTGGGATCAGCGCTGCGGTGCTGTTAATCACACGAGTTCTCTCATGATGTCACCGAGTAGCCTCGCGAGTAATCTTGTACGTTGCTTTATGACATTGTTTTTGTCGGAGTGAGTCAGAGGCTTCGATATATGAGGCAGCACAGACTGAGCAGAGTCCTAAGCTGCTGGGGAAGACACAAACTCTCACTTTCTTTAGCAATTGCACACACAAAAACATTCATTTAGAAAGTGATGGTTTGGCAGCGTGCAGCAAAGTCTCTGAGCTCACATAAGACACTTCCCCCAAACCAGGAAAAATCTTGCAGTTAGGGCTGGACGAGCGTTAACAAAATTATATCCACATATAAATTCAGAAACCATTTTAAAGCAACAAGTTAAATACAGAAAAAAATACAGGAAAAAAGGCATGCTTTTTACAAAAAAAATACTAAGAAAAACAATTTAACAACCAAATTTTTTTAAATATCTACCATGCAAAAGTTTTTTTTTTTGGGGGGGGGGGGGAATAAATTGTAATTAATTTAAATGTAATTAATAAAAAAAATAAGTAATTTTAAACTGTAATAATATTTATATTTTTGATTAAATACATTTTTATTAAATATATTTTTATTTTATTGATTAAATAAATGCAGCCTTGGTAGCATAACCGACCTTCAAGAACTAATCATTGAATCACAAATAAATAATTTTCAACCAGATTACTAAATCCCGCCAGTGCAAAGAACTGGTTCACAAAAATGAATTTTATCTGACTTTGCTACTGACACTAATTAAATATCTTATACTACTTTAATGTTCGCAAGCTGTAATATAGAGAGGTAAACTAGTCTTTTCGGAATTTAATTGCAAAAATTTTAAAAACACTTTAATATTAATGCAATTTTTATGATCTAGGTTAACTCCATAGTTGCAAACAAAATATCAAACATAAAAAAACTGATATATTATCATCCAGCCTTACCCCCAGTTACTGCATATAAATCACTTTAGCTCACTGAAAGCATGAAGTAACGATACGTCAAATGAATGAATGAATAATTAAAAGTTTTGGCAAACACTGCCACAAAGGTCATTGGTTTGTAAAAAAATTAGACTTTGTTCGCTACACATTTACCACATAATAACAGCAAGTTCATCACAAATGGTTGCTACTTTTAATAGTTGCACTTTTATTATCCAAGGAACTGGATAATAAGGGGAGGAGGCTGCTATGAAAGACTGAGTCAACAGTGTCGTCCCTTCCCCCACTCGCTGTATCACTCCATTGGCGCTGCAAACAATGAGGAAATCACCACTCTGGCTTGGTGCTATAACAGTATACAAATGAAACCGAGACCAAAGCACCACAGGCGGGGGGAAAAAAAACACATTGACCCCACTGGAGGGAAAACCCTCCATTTACAGACTTAAAAGTGGTGGTTGATTTGAGTCTACAGTCTAGCATACAAGCCACTGGCCTCAATCTGTCTTTGAACTGTCTCAAACACACATTTAATTCCACCGCATTCAATCAGGCTTTCATGCAAACTCAGGGTGCATTCCAGAAACATGCTTGAGATTCCATTTTGAGCTAGTTAATGGATTCACTCATTGCCTCAGTCTCTAATATTCCTAATAGGCTTGAATGTCTCAGGAAAGCATTTCC